ATATCGATTGACAATATGAAAATATTAGAATAAAAAAAAATGTACCTTATTTTTAGCGTTTGGACTGGCGCCTGCTTGGAGTAGTAAAGCCGTTAAATCGTAGTTGCCATCATGGACTGCTAAATGTAAACAACTGTTACCATGGGAATCCATAGCCTCCACGTTAGCACGATTTTCTAGTAAAATCCTGACACATGATAGTTGTTGACATTCTATAGCCTGTAATTAACAACACTGTTAAAATATGGTATAAACACTGCACATCCAAACTGTACAGAGATGTAGGATCAGTCTCTTGTCTCTCCCAAAAACTTCAGATAAGAATTTGTTGTAAGTCAAACTTCACCAATTGAAATATAACCTGGGGCCTTATTCTGGAAAACTTAACTTGAAGATGCGTTTAGTTCTGCAATCATCTGATTGGTCAATCACTAAAATTGATTTTAAATTTTGTTTCTAATCCAATCAGATAACTGTATTTCTTAAAATCAGGAGTTTATCTTAGTTAAGTTTTTGAGAATAAATCCCCAATCATAAAATATTTTGTAGAAATAATGCCAGGTCATTCTCCATAGGTCAAATTTTAAAAATTTTGCTACTAAGATTTATATTGAGTTTTTAAAATTGAGTTCCAGTATCTAGAAAGCTAAAATCTAATATTAACATAAAAATAATTTTGTACGGTAATCTAATATTAAAATTTATCTAATTCATTATTTCATGTATTTTTTTCTTGATAATGCTGCATCTATTAAAATATTGTGAGAAAAACAAACAGTATACATGTATCTATATATTTTGGGCTTCTTTATGTTAAAATCACTTGTAAAATTATTTCATCAATATTTTTCCAAATTTTTTATCGATTTTCAAAATGTGGGTTAATCCAAGAGTTAATGAAGGTCAAGGAGAAAAAACTGTGAAATAACGATAAAAATCATCATGAATCTTTAATGAATTTACGATCAATACAATGATAAGTAGCAAGTCAAAGATAACAATAAAATCTTGTTAATTAAAACTCAGGAATAATTAGTTAATAATTAATTAGCATGACTTTCAATATTCATTAAACCATCTGTTCGGTTCCATAGACACTTTGGCAACTCTTAGACAAGTTCTTACAGGAAACTAGAGCCAAAATAGTTTCTGATATTCTTAATAAGTCCCCAAACATCAGCAAAAATATAAACTTAATCAATCAAAAATTAAATTTTGTGCAAAATAAAATGTAGCCTTATCTTAGGATATCCTTCGTGGCATAAACCTTAAAACTTGTTACCGTATTTCTTTCTAGAACACTTATAGCATTAATCTCTAAACGACATTTAGAAGTAGAAAGAACATTAAATGAATTAAAACACTATTATAGATATACTACTCCTTTCTTTAGAAGTGGAGAGTATATATAACAAAAAAACACAAGGGGTATATTATGGTATAACTCTTTAACGTTTCAACACAATTTTCACGTGTCGTCATTTCTTTATTTAAATTTTGCAACGTATAAAGTATGTATGTGAATTGAAACATTGTAAAAATTAAAGGAAGAAGTAGTATATCCATAATAGTGTTTTTACTTATTCAACACTAATAGCATCGATTACTGATTCGCACCATTCAGATTTTCAATCAGACATATCCTTCACAAAAACCCTAAGATATAATTAGCAGCTTTTGATATGGTGGCATCAAATACAGTTAAAGCACTTCCGTAATTACAGAAACCAAGATATCTGAAGGAAAATGGCAATGATGCAAATAGAAGCCATAATTTTCTTCCGACACATAAAAATAATAGAAAACTTCTTTACAACTATAATCGGTGAAATAAACAAGTAGAAAGAGAAATTCTTACCTTCATCAGAGGTGTCTTATTATGGCTGTCCAGAGCATTTATTTTGGCCTTCCATTCTAGTAATTCCTGAACTATTTCAGCATGACCTTTCACACATGCTAAATGTAATGGAGTTCTGCAAAAAAACAGAAATGAAGTTGGTAAAATCCCAAAGGAAGTCGACAGTTCTCAACTGGCAATTTTTCTAATTGCTAACCATAATTCAATTAATAATATTTAATAATTTCATAAAATAAAGTTTTCAGAATGCAAATTTAACAATTCTATTTTAAGTGTCATATTTCAAAGAAAATGCTAATTCCCAGATCAAAGGTTTCTTCAGATGACAGTTAGTCATTTCCTCTATTCTGAAGACTGTCAGGAACCAAAAGACAATCCATAAGGCATAAGGCTAAAAATCATGTCAGATCATGTTCCAAGTACAATGAAAGAAGATGAACTTTGTCTTTGAATTCCTACCTCTGCTCTTTGTCCACAGGGCTGGCATCCTTTCTGTCAAGTTGTTTCACTTTATTCAAGTCTCCATTCCATGCAGCTTTGTGGATCTTTGGCAAGTCTTTTTCTTTGATATCATAACCGATCGTGTTCAGAGACACATTCGATTGAGAACGAGAATGAGATTGGGAAACGTTTGGAAGCGATCCTTTGGCATCGCCTGCACCTCCCAAACCCCGGACCGGGCTCGGGGAGCTTCCCCGTTTTCTCGATGGTGATTTCTTGGTGATGGTTCTGAAAAACTTCTTCATCTTGATGGTTACCAAGAACGCTTTCTACTACAAGGGGAAGGTCAGTGAACAAGCTCCGCCATCTTCTTTCCCATTCTAATGTTTACCAAAGGGACGCTACTCTAGTCAAATATAATATCACAGACCACAACTAAAATACATAATTAAAGGAATAGTCTCCTCTTTTTGTTCTGCTCTTCAACTTGATAAAACTCAGTCTTGAATTAATCTTAGATTTAGTGCAAGTTTTCCATCCACGGAAGATAAAGAATTTGAATTGTCACAGGCCACAAAAGATTCTGTTGATTATGTTCAATGTTTATCACAGCTCCAGAATGTTGCTTGCCAACAGCCTCCTGCAAATGTTGATAATGCCAGATTTTCGTCATATTAAAGATGCAGTCTCGAGTTCCCAACTTTTTTGCCAACTAACAAAAAATTTTTTCACATTTATAAAAAATAAAAAAATTTTTTTTAATTTTTTATTTATAAATTCTACAAAGCATCACAGTATAATGTACAAAATAAATATTAGATTTAGTTGATCAATGATGACTCCAGACACAAGTACAGTTTAAAGAAGTTTAAAAGAGTTTTCTAGAATTTTGGCATCAGATGTCTGTGGTTCCTGTAATTATAGAAATGCTTAACCACATACAACTTCACAATTGCAAAAGATGCAAATAATATCTAAGGCCTTTATGATAGCAGTGTGATAAAACCCTTAATTTCAGTGGAATTGCAAAATTATGAAAATTTGAATGATGTAAATTGATGCTATCATTGTCCTTGATTCAAATGAAAAATTTAGAAAAACTCTTTACAATCCCTCTAAAATATAACTATCTACAATCATAAGACCAATTTCCATTTTCCCTGAATTCAAGAAATATATCAAAAATTTAAATCCCAAATTGCACTTAATTCTTTTAAAAAATGCATCATCTACTTCAATTATAAAATAATAATAATAATAAATACTAAGAGAGCAAATGCTTTCAATGGAGGTCACTTGATCTACATTCTGATGTTCTATACTCATTTTCAAACTAGCTATCTTAAAGAGATGGTTAGGAGGTTTTCAAAACTTTGTATGTGTATCAGGGACACTGATAGCATCAATTTAAACCATTTCAATTTTCTATCTGACAAATCCTGCAATTCCATTAAAACTAAGTGTTTGATTTTAGTGTCACTAATTGCGAAGTCCTTACGTGATAAAGCATATTTTGCAATTAGTGATTGAAATGGTGCAAATTGATGCTGTCAGTGTCTCTGATACACATACAAAGTTTAGAAAACCTCTTTACAATTTTAGGATTTAATATAATGAACAAGCCATGTCATCATTAAATGAGGTCTCAATAATTGCTGTTAGAAACATGAAGTTATATCGCTAAATGACCATCAACAAGCAAACTTGAGGGAACCAACTTGTGGATGATATACAAAAGATTAAGCAATGACACCAGAATATTTCTAGGTTTAAAGGGAGAAAGCTTGGAACAAAATGTGTTAATACAACAAAATTTAAGAACAAAAATAACATGCATGAAAAACATTTGGCCCCAAATTTGCAATTGTTTTCAAAAATGACATCGAAGAAAATGAAGAATATCACAAGGTTATAAAGATATGTACAATATTGTCAAGAAATTTACACTTTCCTTAGTGAATGGAGATTATTGTTTATAGTGGAATTGGAATATCAGCCTCAATAATAATACTGATAGTCTTAGATAAACATAAGTGTACAAATCCTTCTCAAATTATATTTACAAGGGCAATTTTCAACCAATATGTGAGCCATTTTCAGGAGGGAAATGTGCTTCTATCCAATTTTAACTTACAAAAATTCATATTTTCATCAACGCAAAATCAAAATAAAGAATTCTGATTGGCCAATTTTATTGATGTGATAATATCCACCAATCCGATTTCTAGCTTGTTGTCAGGAACATCATAACTTTAAGATAGGATGTTATTATAATGATAAGTTTGACCAATCAGGTTTATAGATGTAAACTAGTTACAAACTTTCTGACAAAATGCCGTGGCTCTCGATATCTTTGTGTCTGGTGAAAAATATTTAGATACTTTTCAAAGTAACATTGCATTGTTCAAACGGTTGTAGAATCTGGTGAATCAGCTTTTTCCGTTCTCCGTGTTCCAACTCCCTCTGATTCACCATCAAATTTCAGCTCCTCGAAAGAGGACCCAGTACTCGCTTCGGAATCATGTCCGGTTAGACCATCAGCAGTTTCAGAATTTAAATTGTCAGTAACTAATGCTTCAGCCTCGTTCGACTGCGTTTCTTCTTTAGGTTCAGGAATAGGCGCCATAGGTGGTGGAATGTTCCATAGAGTGTTGTAGAATTCGTCGTCTGGTTCCATGACAACCTCTCCTTCTGATGTAAATTTCTTCATTTCTGGCACGTAAAATTCGTCCTGCCTGGCTAGAGGTGCCATAAAATGCATAGTTTTTCCATCATAAATTTCTAAATAAGGATGAGCACATAGTTTATGATCCTGAAATAAAAATATTATCTGTCTTAGTTCAAAACGCTGCCTAAATTTAAAATGTCTATGGATATATAAATTTCTTTTGAGTTTTTGAGTTTCAAGTGCAAGAATCCAAGGCTGTAGATGTTACTCAAAAAGCAGCGGTTTGATTGGATAGTGCACCAGTGAATACAGCCTAACATAGCCCTCGACAGACCCCTACAGGTGCTAGCTATGGGCTGGAATGCTTATTACAAAATTTGGCTTGTACCCACCTGTACATAGGCTGACATCTCTGGATAAACTTTAAATACACCAATAAATATAGAAAGGGAACTGATATGAGGGAATGAGGTTTTTACTACATTGGTCGCTGAGGGCAGACGTAATAATTTATATCCTTCAGCTTCAAATTTCTTTTTCAAGTCTTCATCCACTGGTTGATCATCGTGACTTAGAACTGAGGCTACGACGTATCTCGTTAAATGAGATGGAACCTAAAAATAGACATGATGACAGATTTAAATGCTTTTACTATCATTTGTCAAATTGTAAAGATTGAAGCTTCAACACGTAGCATTAGATGAAATGGAAACTATACACTGAAAATTGTCATTTAGTAATGTATGTTATACCTGTGATACCTGTTCTTTGGTATATTAGTAAGCACAACGACTTCTTGACCACCTTGTAAATTTCTAATAAGACTTCCAAAAATGAAGTAATGAAATATTTGTTTTGGTTTCCTTATGTTCGTTTTGCACATACGACAAATTACCCATAAATATGAATTAAAAGACAACTCAAAAATGCTACCAATAGTCTACTGAGATTTTTAGATTGTCCTAGTGTTGATGAAAATGTCAACCAGAGAAAGAAATATCAGTATAATGAGAAGAAAATTCTGAGTAGAGCTACAATAAATCTATACGACTTACTCGTTTAGGTTCATCATAATAGATACCCAAGGCTTTGTTGTCTGGAGCCAAATGGGCGATTTCTGTGAACGTCTGCCCAGCCTCTTTGTAAGGGCCTCTGGCGAATCTGTACGCAATGAGAGCCTCCCCAATCGGTGGACTACCTGCCCCGACAGTTACTGTTTCGAAAAGTCCAGAATATACAAGCAGAGCTAGAATCGTGAAGCCAATCAGGACGACTAAACATCCTATAGCCACAAGAATGACTGACAAATCCTCCATATTTGTTTTTGTTGAACATTGATTTTGGACTTTAAATTTAGAGAGTTTAGTAAATATGGATTTATCTCCCTTTGACCATATAAACCTACTTTATCAAGAGATCGGTCTTATAAAAGCCCAGGCTGCCCTGATTGGTAAAAGACTTTTGCGCTTTAAATTCTGTAGCTTATATGGCTAAGGAAGATGGGAAACACCATAAATTATAGCGCCGTGAAAGAAAATATTTTCATGTCAGCTGCAAGACTATGCTATCTATGGATAATGTGCGAAGATCCATTACATAGCTCAGTGGTCAATAAGCCATTCAGATCGGATCGGTTTGTTTTGAGATCGATCTGATTCTACCACTTGCTTATTATACTACAAATGGTTGAACATTTCAGATTCTGTGAGTTGCAAGGTCGACCTTTGAAAGTGGTAACAGCTCCATAAACTAGAATAAGCGGGGAGAAGTCTTTCCTGTAAATGAATGGGGCGAAGTCCATCTGTTTCATCCAACATCGAAAGCACTTTCACAATAAACTTTTCAATTAATAGATCTACTTTATAATGGTTGATAGCTTTAATTTGTACAGACTGTAGCAGGGGAAGACCGGGGTTAGTTGTAACAGGGCTCATAATTTCTAACACACAAACTCTACAGTTCTATAGACTTATATCCTCATAGATGATGGTGTAGCTATTAACATAATTATCTGAAGAAGATGGACTTGCTTCTCCGAGCACGGGGTAAGTTTTAACAAACAAAATTGAACTTTCTTCCTTAATTACTTTAAAAATACCTAGCATTTTAGAAAAATGTGCGAATGATAGAGTCGTTTAAGCACTTTCATTAACGCTAATCACTTTTCATAAATTAATATTCCTTCTGTAAAATAGTCTGAAAATTGATACAACTAGCCCTGGACTTCCGGGTTTTTCGTCCGCAAACGACACAAACAGTTGTGCCAGTTGTCGACAGTTGACGGTCTTCGGGGCTTGGTAATTTACATTTAACACACCTTCCTCCCAGACATTAAACGTTAAAGGACTTAAACCAAAACATCTGCCTACATTCCAGATAGCTATTGTGAAAGTTGTACTCCAGTCGATATCCATCAAAATATCTATCAGAGGCTGGATTTTTTGGACTAATTCGGATTCTTTGTAAATTTCCGACAAATATTTCTGACATCAATTGGCATTTTCATCAAAGCAAAGGTAATCTAAGACTCTCATATCAGTAGTATTTTAGAAACGATGTTTCTGTTCATTTACGAGTAATTGAAAATGCAATTTCAAAAACAATGCTGTCGAGCAACAGCCAAACCTTATGTCAATGAAAAGGAATAAGTGACACGCAATTTGGTTTGGTTCAAAATATTTAGATAGTGGACGACAGCCGGCGACCTTTACAAGTTTCTACTCGGTAAAAATGTTAAGTATCTATTCTAGTTAATTACTGCTGTCATCAGAAGAAGATGAACCCAGTTTTACACTGGATAGTTTTCACTTTTTTCTTTCTGTATTTTATATCGGGTTTTTCTTGTTCAAGTTAAAAACCAAAAAGCTTTTAGTTGTTCATTGGGAGAAGAAACCATGGCCTTGAATTCTACATGTAACATATTCTAGATCCCTCGATAGTTGGAAATCAAAAAGATAATGTTTATGACACTGTCATATTTGTTTTTACTAGAAAGCATTTGGAAAGATTTGCATGTGAGCCCCCTTTTGACAATTCCGTGACCCCCATCTCCCCCTTCTTTCCCGCTATGATTCTAAGAAACACCATCTTTATTATGTAGCCTATTATCTGCATTCAATCATTGTAACTATTATACGACAGAAAAGCACACCAGCTCAAGGACTTTTTTTTATATAGGTTTTTTACTCCTTACCTTTGCCCTACCTAAAATATTTAGTGTAAAAGGGTAGAAAAGAGGCTGGGTTGGTAGGAATGTAGCTGATCACGTGACAGTCTCAGTGGAGCGTAGTGTAGATTATTACTGTACCTATATTTTACCTGTCACAGTTCTACCTGAATTTACCTGTATCACAGCTGACTGTTTACCTACTACTGGCGGTATAGATGAAAGGATTGCTATAACAGGTAGGTACAAATATCATCTTAATTAGTCTTCATCTCTTTATCTGGAATATTTTTTACCTGTTTTTGATTTATTCGTGAGGATGTAGTTTTGACAACTTTTTAAGAACTTACTATTTTGTCAAAATAAGGTACATGTGGTCAAATTTAGAATTATATACGCAAGGCCTAAATTGTAGCCTATATTTTCTATCATCAAGTAGAATCTTGTATCAAGGACATGCAAAGGACATTTTCAAAATTAAAAACTGTTTGAAGTTGAATGTTTAAATTGTCTTTGAGAATTATAAAACATTATTCTTCGATCACACTCCCGAATTGGAAACATCTATTTCAAAACCAGCTGTCCTGATGAGGATTTTATATCTGAAACGCATGTCGGCATCAAGAGATGGTGATGTCAAATATCTATGCAGGTGATAGGGATTAAAGGTATCAGTCTGTACTAATGACAAAGTTACGAAAGCACAGGCACAGGTCTTAAGTGTTAAGTTCTTTAATTTGAATAAACAGATGATAGGGATTACAGATCTTAATTGGATAAGAAGTGATTACAGACGAACAAAACCTCAGATGTTCCCTCTGAAAAGGGATACGGACAGCTTTATTGAGCTTTTTCAGCTGAGCAAGCAAATATTTAGACGAATTTATCCCCTTTCTATTTTCAAAATTTCATCTTGTTTCGACTCGGATCGAACCTACGGCTTGTTATGTCGAAAATACATAACAAAAATATACTCCACCTTACGAATGGGTTTATTGGTGTACAGAGATAGTGTTATTTCTACCAGTAGAATCTGAATATTAACAGGTCAACTCGAGAACTGATAGCCCGACTTCAATCTGACCTAATAACCTTCTAATATATCTTACTATTACACAATCCTGTTCGATGAGTTCGTTTACTTAGTCTCAATTTATGGCTATCAGGAACTTCATTCTTCGCCTAATATAAGACAGTTTATGGGATGGTACAATGATTTGTTTGTTTAAACCTTTTTACTTAAAAATGTGCCATTACACAAGATTACGAAATTTTGTGAATTTGAAATATATTAACAAAGTAGGTATGAGCTTGAGCCGGTCCTGGAAGTTCGAGGAAGCTAATTTCTATAAATCAAATCAAGTTCTTAATAACAGGAACTGTGACTAAAGAAGCGCCTTTCAGTAAACGTTTTTGTTAATATTGTCACAACAATTTTGGTTTTAAATATCAGTATATGATGTTTCCTTGTTTTATGATCTTCCTTTTTTACCATCTAGCTTTACTTCAAATTTTTATAACGACCATATTGATCATAATATATGATATATATTATACATGGTATATTAAAAGTGCACGATTCAGCTTAATTTAAAAAATGAAAATTCTGTCCGACTGCTCCAATACTCAATACTACAATTCCCAGGTTATATGATCGTCATCTGAGAGTAGGAGGCTGGGGCAATTTTTACTTTGTGACCTAGGCCAGTGCTTTTATGAAACTATGTTCTCATCGCAATCTAACCACTGAAGTAAGTTTTACGTTGTGACCTTGGCCAGTGCTTGTATGATACTATTTTCTAATCACTAAGTAATTAACTAAGTTATCACAATTTAGGAGAAAGATTTGTTAAGAAGCGTAGCAGGTTGTCCAACTAATAGTACCATAGAAAACTAACAATTCGATGGTGATTAGTCTAGATGTTTGTAGAAAATGCCTCGCCTCGCATCCTAAATTTTTAATACAATTGAAAAATTCCTCCACGTTTCTGTCTGAAATGGCCTTTAAAAGTTGACCAGAGAAGGTCAATATTGGCCGAAGAAAGTGACAATTAATTCTAAACTAGATAATTATAGCTCCTCTCTAGTCTAAGGATGATATTATTTTGAAGTTAGGTATTTACCATAGAACTCGATTTCAACTATCAATATCACTTATGACAATCATATCTTAAAGATGGTTTTCCTTATTTTTAGTGTCAAATTAAGCAAACTATTTGATTAATTGGTGTTTCTAATGAATTACCATGTATTCTTAATCAAATCAATATGTCCTTATTGCATATAATTAAGAGTTTCAACCAATCATAAATGTCCATGTATGTACAGTCTGGATAAACAAAAAAAAAAAGACATTTTTTTACCTTTTTTGATTGGTCACTCATTGGAACTCTGCTAGTTATTTTCTTCTAATTTAGCTAATTATGAATTAATTATGGACATGTTAGACCACCTGATATTTTTCCAAGTCATCAGAACACCTCTAATTTCTATTCATATAAATATTAGGATTTTCATTTTCATAAATGAGACAAGGAAACCCATCTTTAAGATCGAATAGAGATATATCGTAATTCTTTCTAAATACGGTTAGTCTAATTTTCAGTCCATCATTGCGTAATAATATAATGACTTTTGTGTTATTGTGAAATTAGACCCATGGCATTTAAATGTAGGATTTTACTTAAATCAGAAATCAGAATATATGATTATGACCTAAACTGATCACTGTAAAAATTAGGAATGTTTTCAGTTATATTCCCGGAAAATTGTTTTGTGATTTGGGGGTAAGCTTCTTTAAGTTGCGAACAGATGAGATGCAGGATTATTGATGCACTAGAAATTAAAGAAACTAATAAACGCTGTCTGGGTTTGAACACTATTCGCTTCTTTTATTATCAACCATATCGACAATCCTGTATCATACGTCGAACCGGACAGCATACCTCGTCTATTGCAAGCTTTTAACAAACATAGTTGACATATTATAACAATCTATTATTAACATAAATTAACAGACTTCACAATTCTGTCATTTTATCACTTTACAAATCTTTTTTTTCTCATCTTTTATATCCAACTTTCATGCTGGTTTATTGTTTTCTTAAATTACTGTAAATATCAAAGTCTGAATTTTAAATATTTTTATTTACTTTTAACTAATGACGATGATATTTTGATAAAGAAATCTGTATTCTGCTTTTCTTTGTAACTTTCATTTGATTAATTCTACTGTAAGGTTGAACAAATTAAATTTAATAAAGTATAAAGAGAGTGGTATTCTGCTTTTCTTTTTGACTTCCATTTTGGATTTATAAACTTTTTAATTATTAATTAAAATATGAAATTTGAAATAATTACCTAACTTGGACATTTATCAGACAGCAATATTATAAAATCCTTGATAAAGTGGTCTTGTCATGGAATCGTCCTCGCATGTGCAAAAATAACTATACCATTTATTATACCTTAAACTACTTGTGTTTAATTTTTGGAAGTCGTCTCCATGTTTACATCGATGTTTTTCAAATTATGGACTATATTATACATGTATACATGCGGGGAAGATGTTTCTTTTTTCAATTGTACATCAGTGTAAGACTATACCACATTACCTACCTTCAACAAAATAGACTGTTCACGAATCCTTCCCGTACGTGCATCAACATACTGGCTACAGTAAAGCACACTTAAAACAAAATGTAGCCTATATACTCTTCATGAAATCTTCCTGGTATGTGCAATGACATTATTGACCTACTTTTTATAATTATATCTTTCTATGCTTATTGTTTACATGTTTCATTTTGACAAATATAATCTTAGAGCGGATTAATTTCAGAATCTATAAAAATTATTTTAGACATTGCGTGTCGTATTTTTAACTAATATTTTGAAGAGGACAGTTTTTTATCTGCCTGAAGAAATTAGATTAGAAAATAAACCGTGTTGTCTGGACAATATCCCTTCTGAATCGTATCTTGACAATTAGTTTAAAAAAAATAAAATAAATTGAATTGAAATATCAAGTCTAAAATGGATAGTAATGATAGTAATGTTTTTAGATTGTCTTGCGCTGATAAAATTTCAACCTATTATTAAAACAATTTTGTCCAAGGGTTAGGAATTCGAATTAATGACTGTGTAAAAATTATTTAACGGAATAATCATGCTATTTAGATTTTGATTTGAACTCCTAAATACATTATAGTTGTATATAAGTGATAGTCGTATGTATTCTTTGGGTTAGAAACTTTATATTTTGGAAGTTGTACCAGCCATTAGGGCTTTAATTCAGACAAAAAACAAAAATATATACTGTCCGACCATTGTTACCTCGGAATTACATTTTGATTATTGTCTTTATATACATCGAAACATCAGATGTGAAATGAGAGACATAAAAAAAAAAACAAAGAAAAGACAAAAAGAACACAAAAATCCTAAAAATTACTGTGGTCGTAGAGTTGACCATAATCCATACACGTTATTATAAAATTCAAGGTAACGTTTTGTTTTATGATAACCACACCCAATACCAGAAGAAATAACTCTAACGATTTGAGAATAATAACTATCATTAAATTTTGTTATTTTGTGGGCTATTATTGTTTACCTTTATATTTTAGGTTTTCTAGAATATCATTTATTAGGGTGTTTATTTTAAGTAACCTAAAAATACTCTTAGCGAAACGGTCACACCCAACAGCTGACGCGATATATATCTCAGAAGGAATCTTGTCTATGTTGTAATACAATTATTATTTTATAAAACGAAATAGGATATATATTAGTTATATTACACAATAGTTTAGTATATTTAAAGGTAAACTTTGCGTCTGTTCATATACCGTATAAACCCGAAGACCAACTGCACCCAAATAAAAAACTGGAATTAAATGCTACAATTTCGACAGAATGCCAGGATACACAAAGCGACATGTAATATGTATAGTTATATTACACAATAGTTTAATGTATTTAAAGGTAAAATTGGAAATTATTCATATACCGTATAAACCCGAGAACTATCCGCAGCTAAATTTTGAAATTGAATTAAGTATTAAAGTTTCAATGTAATAAAATAAATCAAATAGATCATGGGAAGGGAGGGTAGAGAGCGGAAGGGAGGGTTTGATTCTTCCAAATCTACAGTCCAGGGTTGAACAAATACTTCATTCAGAAATTACGCCATAGTTTTGTGTATTTATAACCCGAAGACTGACCGTCCCCAAAATAAAAAACTTGAATAAATGTTAAAAATGTATCAGATCACTGGAATATTTAAAATGAAGTTGAATAATTATGCAAAGTGACGTATGATAGTGTATTTGAATTTGAATAGTTGACTGCACATTTATACTATATATATAACTTCTCCAAAATAGCATCCGGAATAATTTTGAGAACACGCCCAAAATTAAGAAACCGTTATAAATGATAGCATCTAATTTATATTTAAAGGGACAGATGTGCCATTTGGGGGGTGGGGATGATTTTAATCTTAAATATATGTCATCAGAAGTATTAGAAATGTACTAAGAATTTTACTCACTATTTCTATATAATTATGTCTTTTCTATATAACACAGAATATCTTAAATTGACGAGTCGTCATTTTAATATTCAAACGCAGATAATTCTGGACACATATGGATTTGAAGGCTCAAATTTCGACGGTGAGCTATGACAGTTTCTGAGACTGAAATATGATTGGTCAAAGAAATGAGCTATTGTCCCTTTAAAATAACACCCACCACCAAAACCTTGTCTAAATATTGCTTAGTAGAGCTAAATTTAAGCTATCTGTATAGTCGCCTAAATATTACTTTAACAGTAATTTCAGCTAACTGTATAGTTGCCTTATTAGCTGATGGAGCCCAATTTTAGCTATCTGTATGCACATATATATAGCTCAACGAGAAGATAGAGCTCGATTTCAGTTATCCATACATTTTGTAGATCTAAAATTGAATGTTCAGTTATCCTGCAATTCAATAAAAACATATAACACCAATTTAGACTTTCGTCACTTACAGGGCGTTATTAACATTATTACAGACTAACTGATGTCATTATACCAACAATAAGTGCAAATGAAATAGACCACTTTCTAACTTTTATATTAAAAATTCCTATTATATGCATTCGCAAATAGTATAGTGTTTACCCTAGCATAAAATATCTCCTTTATATACACTAGTTTCCATAATGATTTCATTATAAATAATGTTTTGCAATTTATTTTTGTGGTATTTCTAATTTTCAACGAAATTGTGAAATTTTACAAGACTAGCCTTCTTTCTCGGGGAAAATTTAATGAGAGGAATTTGTAAAAGAGTTTAAATATTATTTTTCGATTCAATTCAAGGTTGTTTCAGTGAATATACATTTCTTCTATTAGAAAAATGAATCCAATTAAGAAACTATATAATCACTGGTATTTCAATGGCACGATCTGTGCTTCCGAGAGTCGACTCGGTGTCGGCTTTCGACGCTTAATACCAAAAATAAAGTTTTTCCAGTGTATTCTCGTTAATATTCCTAATTCCCAATTTCTTTATCATTTCAGTACCAGTGTAACATCCTTATCAACGACTGGTAATTATGGACAACCAAAACATTCAGAATCTCTCGGGATCAACGACAGTCTGGGTTGGAAACAATCCATATTTGGTGAATTCCGCTGGTGTCATTCCCTTAACCAGCGGCTTTTCAGCTTTATCGTTGAACCAATCACCGCCGCAACCCGATGTTTCAAACCAAGGACAGTTCTACGTAGTGTCTGTACAAGAATCACCAACCAAAACGTCGCCGCAAGGGTTAAGCAACCCCAGAACTGGATTAGGTTTATACGATTCCAGTGCTTTGACGGCGAGTTCTCCAAATCTCGGTAGCACCAGCAACAACAATTTTCAACCCCAGTTTCAATTACAACCTCAACCCATCAACTTTCAGTACAATCCAGGACTGAATCAGTTTCCGCCGACGTTCACCAACGTCCAAAGTCAGCAGTTCCCATCTACGTTCACCAACGGCCAAAATCCCCTTACGTTCACCAACGTCCAAAGTCAGCAGTTCCCATCTACGTTCACCAACGGCCAAAATCCCCTTACGTTCACCAACGTCCAAAGTCAACAGTTCCCTCCGACGTTTACCAACGTACACAATCCACTGACGTTCACCAACGGACAAAACAAGCAGTTTCCTCCAACGTTCACAAACGGATTGAACCAAAACTTTCCACCGACGTTCACGAATGGATACTCAACGTTGCCAAACCCTCAGAAACCTTTGACTATCAACCCAGGTTCTACGACAAACAACCTCAATGGCAATTTTCAGGCATCCCCTGCTGAAAATAGCACCAGTTCCCAGAACTTCTCTGAAAGTGGCACCACAGAATCTGTACCTCTCGCTTCCCCATCTCTTTCAACATCAAGTACCTCAATACTCAGCGAATCTTCATACGGAGGATTTCCCAGCCCGGACGCAGGAGTTAATTGCGTTTACAAGTCCGATCCTCAAAGTCCAAGCCGTACACCATCAGCACTGACTGGTCCAGCAACGTTACCGAAACCGAAATGCCCGTCACTGACCGGTGGAAAGGACGTAAACGACAACGAAGCGCCTAAGCAGATCTATCCTACTGTGCCACCTTGTTACGAGAGGCCGGGGAACAAGGAATATTGCTTACGATGCGGTAAAAGGGTGTATCATATGGAGAAGCTCGGTCCAGTAAAAGAGTGTCTTTACCACAAACTGTGTTTTAGATGCGTTGTGTGTAATACTACCCTGAACGTCAAAAATTACCACGTGAACCCCAACGACATGGAAGATTTGAACGTGTATTGTGTGACCCACGTGCCATCCAATAAATCTGTGAGTGTAGATGCAGGGGCTGTGGGTATCAAAGGGGCGCTAGGTGCTCCTAAATTGGGCATAATAAACCAGCAGATTCGTGGTAGGTCCGACGCTCAATATGGCAACGAAGGATTTCAAACAGGGGTGAATCCTCAACGGAAATTATCTGAAGGAAAATACAAAGGACACACTTATAATCTACAATTAGAATCGCATTACCAGCAAAACGTTCCGACACCCAACCTCCACACAACAGAATATGATTACAATGCTACCAGGTTGTATAACTCACCTTGAAACTGAGACACTTAATAGACCAACTGAGATTCCCGTGTGTTCAAAACTGAGTCTGTAGAATTAACTATAGCATATCTGTTTATATCAGTGTTATTTTGTTACCGTGAGTGCCTTACAGCCAAAGGCGTTTCTAGTAAACATCAGAGGAGGGGCCGAGCAGGGGCCACAGGTTCATTCTTTCACAATGTTAAATGATAACAAATTTAAAAGGGGGGTGGGGTGCGGAGGGGGGGGGGGGGGGTGCTGACCAGCCTCTTCTCTGAGAGGACCATTGCCCTGCTGCCCACCCGTAGAAACGCCCCTGCTTCTAAGCATATCTACGTTTAACTTATCAAATATGAAGATAAGATCAATGTGGAAAGACAAAAAGGGTTCGCACGACATATTTGACTAATCACTATATGGACTATTAACTCTTAACTCCAAACACTTTTAATTCAGAAAAACCCAAAGATATGTTTTGTTGCGCAATTTAACCGTTATCGTAGTGCTGCTCGACTGCTCGAGACAGTGGATTAATTTGAGTAACATTAAATAAAACTTTTAAAGATATTACGTGTCATCCCCTGGTTACCAGTGACCTAAGGATACAAACCACTCTGAATGTCCCATAGGATTCTGTGTAGGACAATTTGAAGCGCAATGCCAAAAAAAATTGAACGTTTCCAACTGCCACCGGTTTTTCTCAAATGAGGCAGAAAGTAACTTATTTACATATCCAATGATATATCACCGTGAATCTATAAACCGTGTCATATTGTAGATAAAATACCCGACTTTCTATAACTAGTTTGGTAGTTTGGTAGTTTGTAAAACGAAGATCCCGATTCAAAGGGATTCTGTATTTATAGAACGTATTAAAGTGATTGTAAAGAGGGCGAAGGCCTTGTGTGAACAGGAATATTCGCGATTAGTGACGTCACTATACGTTTAGATTTAGTGGAATTGCAGGAACCACAGACGTCTGATTGAAAATTGGAATGATGTAAATTGATGCTATCAGTGTCCCCTATACATATACAAATTTAGAAAACCTCTTTACAATCCGTTTAACATTAGAATACATGATTATTATAATCAACTGTTTGCTTATTACCTACATACTGTATAATTTAACATCGTTATATAGTCAACATCATATAAATATAACAAATATTACCAATATTAGCTATGTAGACTCTCTAAAATAGGTAGTCGGAAACATCTGCTTCTATTCCAGCTTCTGATCGCTTTTTTGACAATTGTTGGTGCGGAAAATTACCTCTCAATAGTGCATAGTTTTTCTGTCTCTACATCAGCCGACCGCTGTCAAAATATCTATCAGAGGCTAGAATAGATGCAGAATGATATTAGGCATAAAAAATGAGACTCAACTCTTTTTTCAATATGTACGTCATCTATTGCCATTAAGTTTTGATGACGTCATGGTCAAGCCAAGTTACAATATTCGAATGCTTTACCTGTATTCCAGTAAAACTGTATTTTCTATTTTTTATGCATTTAGAGTTTTTTTGAAATTATTTTGTAAATGTTGAATGTACCACTATAATAAGTAGAACTATCCTAGGATATGATATGGCTTTACTTTGATTTTAAAATATTACAGTATACACAGACAGGATACCTCAGAAATATCATCCTCTATTTATCTACCAAAAGGGTCTGTTTATGTTCCCTAATTGATGTAATGAAAGTTGCTCGCTATTAGAGGATGTAAACACGTGATCTATAATATTCAACATGTTTTGTTTTAACATTTCCTTTCCTGTATTCAAATATGATATATAACATATTTATAGTTTCAAATGATATGATACCCGGTATTCGAGGTTATAAATAAAATTTCTACGATATAAGGCTTGGTTTTTTTTTTCAATTCACGAAGCGGCTGAAGTTGTACAAATGCAATGATTTGATTGGATTGTCACTAGCGAGTACAGCCAATCAGCGCCCTCGACAAAAAGATTAAACAAATCGGCTGTGCGTATGATTGGTTGTATTACCTAGCATACAATCCAATCAGATTATTACATTCATCTATGGCTGTTTCAGTCAAGGTATAAGACGCAGTTCGTAATGACTTGACATTGTGAAGATGGATGCATAACAGCGATAAGTTTTGCTATGTAAATGAATGTGAACGAAGTCGAATCTAACTGGTATAGGGTCAACTTGTCCTTAAAGATCATTTTATTGCATATCTCAAGCGAAACCTGGTAATATTAAACTAGATATCTCCCACTTCAAATCTCCTCACATGATACAATTCTTTATTTATCTTTTCAGCTCATCAGTCCGAATCAAAATAACATTAAATTAAACATCACCAGATCTATATGAATCAATGATTCGTGAAATAAAACAGTTTAAAAAAATGATGAAATTTGAGTTTTATGTCCTACAGTTGTATAGACCTACATTGTGTTACTTATTGCTCTAATGGAAAGAAATGTAGTTGTATATCCTACTGTACAAGAATCTACATTTTAAGGGAATTTTTTTTATAGCAAATCCTCGTCTTTTAACCAAATTGATTTGTATGTGGATGTAATTTAAGCAAGCTTTTTTATTGTGAATTATTGTCGGTAGAATATGATTCGTAAGATCGTTCGTGTGTTCATATTTTAAAAACAAACTGTAGAAGCGTAGTGACTGGTCTGTTAGAAAAAAATTCGACATATTCATTACCTCGGTCCTTATTACGAGGTTTACCTGCTGAAGTAATGCACGGTAGCAATGTTTTTGTTTCAGACATGTTAAGGTGGGATAAGATGATGTACGGTGTACGGTGCGGGCTGATCGATACAGTAGAAAATAGAAGAAACGGATCGTATCCACACCGTGTCCGGATTCATACCTCATGTGTTCACTTCCTCTTTCGTTTATTCCGCACCGTACACCGTACACCGGCCATCGTCTATGCTCACCTTTAAAGAGACTATAATCGCAAGTGTGTTTCCAGAGAAACATGGTTCAGTATATAGCCTTAACTCTGTTTATCTCTATGATCCGTAGAGGTCAGTGACTCCTCAATGCTCAGTGAAGATAATTTGTTATTAAAGAGATGAAGATGGTTAACGAGTCGTCATCAATAAAAACACCAACAGAGATATTGACAATAACAAAACATGATAGAAAATAACAATTATTCAGATTCATCATGTAGTATCAGCAGGGTGGGTTGTTATCAACTGTTTTATAATAACGGACCCCACAATTAGAGTTTAAGCAATAGAAAACAAAATCAGTGGACAATTTGTCATAAGGGCAGGTTGCGGATATAACATGGTTGTATATTGGGTGGTTTCTTTGTAGAACCATGACGGTGAAATGATTTCCAGACGCCCCAATGTTCTAAACAAAGATAAGTTTCAAACCTGAAACGTCTGGATAATCTGATAGAGGGGGTGGGGGTGTTAGATTTCAACCTAGACGGCAAAAACCACTTTCAAAAAAATGCTCATCAAAGTACAATGCACTGTTTTTGCACAGTTAAGAGCGCAAAGGGAGTAGCCTTTTTCTCCTATCGTGGTAAGAGATTCTCTCCCTACGCCCACATCTTAACCACGAAATTTTTTACTTGATATTACAAAAGACCAACTAGGTGAAAAATATAAAATATAATGAACCCGATTTCATTTTATTGATGTGCTTTAAAACACACCTTTTGACATTCCTTTAAAATTATAGTGCATTCATTATTCAGTTTACAACTCTTGAAATATTTTCTATAGTAAAAGTAGGGTAACTTGAAATAAAAAAATCTTTTTTTTAAAATTTGAATAAAACGATGGTGTAAAATGTGGTAAAAAGACGATATACAGTATGAATGAAGCAACTCAATTGTTACACATTGTATAAAGCCCTGTACACACCAACTCGTATATAAAGCGAAATAGAGTGTTACCTTCTACGATGCTAAGAAATGGAGCCTTAGTCCGACTTTGTTGAATCTATTTGAGCTACTAAAATGAAATGAAGTGTTACATCCTACTTTCTGTTATCTTGTTCAGCTAATGAAATGAAGTGGAGATGAAAAGTCGCATTGCACTGATTCTTATTCTGAAAAATGAAATAGAGCATTGCGTCTTACTTTGCTGTTGCGTACTGATTTAGTTTAAAGGCCTCAAGGTCTTTCGTCGAAGTTCAGTCAAACAACACAAGGTTTTCGTAGATTCAGCTTCGTGGTAACTCTTGAAACTGTCAGAAGAATTGGCAATCCGCTTGTAAAAACCAACAGAATTAATTTTCCTATCCTCGTCTATATCTGGCTTTATGTACATGTATATATTTGATAATCTTTCCCTTCTTTCATCTTTCTTTCTTTATCTCTCTGTTGTAATAATTGCCCACTTTATTGTCTGTACTGTTGTCATTGTCTTCATTACCGTTTTTCTTTTGTACATGGATTCCTTCTTGTTATATATCCTCATTTCATCTGATGACAACACGTGTAAATTGTGTTGAAACGTTATGTGCTTTGTTATTAAAGAAGTGAGTTATACCATAATATAACCCTTGTGTTTTTTGTTATATGTATATATTTATTAACGCAAAGTCATTCTAAGACCATCATTATATTCTGAAGATTAAATTCGAATTCTCTTGAAAATAATCAGTAAAATTCGATTATCCATCATAAGTACGAGGAGAGCAGCGTCATCTTCTTGACCAATTTTGGGTTTTAGGTCCATAAATTAAGGTCCAAAGGA